TGATGACTGCTTGCGCGATGTCGCGAAGCATGCATCGTGTTCGGTTGGCTTGAGACTTGACCCAGCCTGAACATTCGAGAGCCAGATGCCACGAATCTTTGTCATCGTTTGCGATGTTCCACCATTCTGTTCTCATGTGGCTCTCCGTCGGGACCTGATTGCCGAAACTGTGGCGGATGCCGAGCAGCATGCGTTGATGTTTGGCGATGCTGTCAGTGTTGAACCCCTGAATTTGGTAATTCCCCCGAAAATCGAACTTTATCGGGCTGCGCACCTCAGCCTCCAGCACTTTCACGACGTCGTCAACGCTGCCCGTACGCGGGGCGCGCGGTCCTCGGAGGTTGTTTCGAAACACGCATTCGATAAAATCATGCTGCTCCTCCTCCTCCTCCTCCTCCTCCTCCCCCTCCTCCTCCTCCTCCTCCTCCTCCTCCTCCTCCTCCTCCCCCTCCTCCTCCTCCTCCTCCCGCATCGTCATATTCCTCCTCATCCGCCTGCTGTTGCTGCTACTCCTCTTCCTCCTCATCCTCGTCCTTCTCCTCGTCATCTTCCTCCCCTCGTCCTCCTCTTCCCCTCTCCCCGTCAGCCCCCACCGCCGTTTCACCCTCCCCCCTCCTCCCCCGCCCGCCCCCTCTACCCTCACTTCCCCCCCATTCCCGTTTCTCCCGCCCACTTCCTGTCCCGCGGCCTCTTTCCGTTCCCCCCCCCCTCGATCGATCCTGTCTCCCCGCCCCTGCTGGAATCCGCCTCGTCGCCCGCGGCGACGATGGCCGCCGAGGGCCGGTGGCGCATCGCTCCGCGCGGGGCGCGGCCGCTCTGGCGGCCGGGCGCCTCGCGCCAAGGGCCGCTCGGGCCCTGCCACGGCGCGCGAGCGGAGCGTCTGGGCGGGGGGCCTTAGAAAGGGGCCCTGGAAGTTTTGGGGGCCCCCAACGGGCCCCTCAACAGGCCCCGGGGCCGCCAAACAACAACTCGGGATGAAAAGTTGGCCCCGGGGAAAGCCCGAAAACGGAGGGGAGGAAGGGGGCCGCCAACGGAGGGGGGGGGTGGAAGGGGGGGCGGAGGACGAGGGGGGAGGGGCGGGGGGCGAGGGGGAGGGGGGGGCGGGAGCGAAACAGGGGCGAGGGGGAGGGGGCGAAAGGATAATGATGACGTCGAGGATCGAGGATGACGAGGAGGACGAGGATGAGTATCTTTGGAAAAGGGAGGCGGGGGGGATGAGGAGGAGGAGGGGGGAGAGGAAGGAGGAGCAGCAGGACGATGAGGAACAGGACGAATGGAGCAGGAGGGGGGGAGAGGAGGAGGAGGAGGGAGGACAATGCACCGCGCGCGAGCAAACTCGCGCTGGGTCGGGCGGGGCGCGGCTCAAGGATAAGGAGGCGGAGGGCAGGACAGCAGCAAACGTGCGAGGGTACGGGCCCCTGCGACCGTGCCTTGGGCACGTTTGGTGCGTGTTCTAATACAAGTAAAATGTGAGGACTTCTCGAGCGAGAGCGTTCTTGGGTGGACATTTTCTTAAGTAAAATAATAAATTTGCGGTGTTAGCTAGCAGGTGGTATCGTGCGCGCTGTGGGTTTGATCCGAACCGCGCGCGCATTGTGAAAGACGCGTTTGTGGATCGTGGTTTGTGGCGGGCGACTGTGGATGTTGATTGAAGCTGCTGGTTTTGAGCCAAAGTAGTTTGTGAGACAACGTGGATCTACGAGGTAGTTCCACGGATCTACCTAGTAGATCCACGCCGTGGATCTACGAGGTAGATCCACGGATCTACCCAATAGATCCACGGCGTGGATCTACGAGGTAGATCCTTGCAACCTCTGGGAGTGAAGTAGACGTCCTGGCTGTCGAAGTAGCCCGCGGGCCCCGCGAAGTCGAAGCCAAACCAGTCCGCCAAGTCGTCGTCGACGAACTGGTAGAGCCCGCCCCGCAGGTCGACGCCGGCGCCGCGGGGGTCGACGTCGGCGTCAGCGAGTCCAGCGCGGCGCAGCGCCTGCGGCGACAGGTCGAGCCCGGCGAGGGCCCCGGCGGAGCCGAGGGCCGAGTGGGGAGGGCGTCGGTGGAGACTCGAGGCCTCGCGGCCATCCAGGACAAGCCGCACCATGCCGTCCTTCTTCGCCACGAAAAAAGCCCCGATGCGGGCGCGGCTGGCCAGCCTGAACCCCACCAGACCCACGGCATGCAGGCGCGCGACGAAGTCCCTGCGAGCCGTCCTGTCGCGACGAAGGCGAGGGCCCCAGTAGGGCCGCGCCGGCGCGATGAGGCATTGCTCAGACAGCGCGTCGATCTCAGCCGCCGCGCGGTAGATCACGGAGTCGGCGTGGCCCGGGGCTTGGACGCCCACCGGCGGCAGTCTGTCGCGGAGCGGCCGCGGCGTGACGAGGACCTGCAAGGCCCAAAGCTTTGTCGGGTCGCACGGTCGAAGGTGCCGAGGCTGATCCGAGTGCATGTCAGTGGACTTCAGAAGGCCGTGGACGGCGTCACTCGGTGATAGGGATGGCCGAGAAGAAAAAAGAGGCACCTTTGCCCAGGTCCTTCGAAGGATGGAACGCTGCGCCATAGTCGGGCGTCGCCCCGCTGGAACTGGGTGGGCTCTCAAGGCCCGAGACGGGGCACCCAATGCATTGAGGGGGCGAAGGGCCTCCCTGCACCGTCTCTCGCGCGAAGGCTGCCGAGAACGGCCGCCGCGCGCGATCTCCCGCCGGCGCAGCGCCGGGAAAGGGAACGGGCCGCCATGGGCACGGCCACGAAGCGCACGATAGTCACCTCGATCAGCTTGGCGCTTACGTCGAGCTCGAGGAAAGCGGTGGCAAGGCAAACGACGTCGGGGATGGAGTCGAGCAAACCTCCTCCCACTGGACCTCGCCACCGCGGCCCCCGCAGGGGCTAGCCGCCCTCGCGGGCGGCCTCGGCGCCTCGGCCGCGGCCGCCATCCTCGCCAGAGCCCCTGCCCCCGCCGCCGCCGCCTCCTCGTGCCAGAGGCGCATCTGCTTCAAGCGCTGCGCCTCGCCCCGCTGCGGGCCCGACACGAAGCTGCCGAACTCCGGGAGCAGCGCGCGCCCGTCCCCGCCGAGGGGCGCCGCGAAGATGCCCTCCAGATTGGCGAAGTCGGGCACCTTCGGGCCGCGGCGGACCGCAGTCTCGACCTCGAAGAGCCACCCGCTGAGGTGCTCGGCGCCCGCCACGTTCGCCGGGCCCACCTGGCCGTAAGAGTAGAGCATCGACAGCGTCTCGCACAGCCGCCGGCGGAGGCGGCAGACGACGCCGTGGAGGTTCACGCCCGACTTCGCGCGCCAGTCCAGGTGATGGCTGATGAAGTCGTGGTTGGCCGTCATCAGGATCCGCTGGAGCTCCGGCGCCGCGGCCTTCCCTTGGAAAGGCCAGCCAGGGCGGTTCGCGGGGCGCGAGAGCTTGGCGACAGTCTGGAAGCTCATGCGCGGCTGGCCCCCGATGCGCTCGTCGCCCAGCAGCCGTGGGTCCTTGCCCGGACCCGTGGCCTTCAAGCGCCTCCACTCGGCCAGGTCGGCCTCCTCGACGAGCGCGGCCGACGCCCGCTCCTCGTCGATGCGGACCAACGCGACGGACTCACGGATGATCATCTGCTTTCCATCGCCGATGGCGCCCTCCGGGATCTCGTCGCCGAAGGCCTCGCGAGCTGGGTCGGAAACGCGCCGGCGCCCTCCCTGCGGCGCGGCGCCCGCGGCCCCAACCAAGCCGAAGACCTCGAGAGGGTCGCGACCGGCCCAGCGCATGCGGGCGAGGGGCTCTGCCGCGATGGGCACGTCGAAGAAGTAAGTCTCGGGCAGCAGGCGTCGAGGCAGGTCCTCGTCGCGGCCCAAGGGGACGACCCGGTGCCCCGCCAAGTCGGCGAGCTGAACGTCGAAGTCTGGAGTCCCAACTATCTACTATCCCGGCGCAGGGGTCGCAAAGAGGAGGATCCCCCCGTGGCAACGCAGCCCGTGGGGTTCGCCCCCAAAACTGATGAGCACCTGCCTTTCAGGAATGTCCAAACTCTTAGACATGGGCTCTCAGCGAGGATGGACTGACCGCTGCTCGCGAGAGGGCCGTCGGCACGGTGATCTCCGCAGGGGCGTCGTCCAAGGAGACTTGGTGAACGACCTCCCGAGGACGAGATGCCGCTGAGCGGCGGGTAGGGGATGCCCCGCACGACACGATGGGCGTGATCAGCGAGCCAACCAAGCACCCGAGGATAAAGAGTAGCGACAGCGAGAGCCGTGAGCAGCTCTCGTCCTGAGACACGTCGCAAGTCTCCCACAGCTGGGCTCGCACCGACGAGCACTCCTGATGCGCGTCCTGGATCGCGCCCAGCGACTTCGCAAGGGCGGGGATCACGTTGTCGGGCGGGACCGCCTCGGCACCGCAGGCGTCCACAGCGCAGACGCAGGCCGGGCAATCGGGCGGCCCTCGGGCGAGGGGGACCAACTGGAAGGTCGAAGCGAAGATGTGGTAAGCAGCTCTCCAGAGACCCGGATCCACCATCCGGGACTTCATGAGCCGCTAGAAGGCAGCAGAACAGAAAGCGTGGTACTCCGAGCACGCTGCAAGCGGTGAGCTACACTGCAGGGGGCCAGTCGAGGTCAGAGACAAGTCATACATACATACATACATGCATACATACATACATACATACATACGTGTGTACATCCATCGTGGTTCAGCAGGATTCATCGTTCGACGACTTACTGCCCAGCGGGCTTGTCAGGCTGGGACCGCTTGGTTGGCTCCAACTTCGAGTGAACGTTGTACAGCTGAAAAGCAGAGCTACACTGGCGGGCGGCGGGGACCTCAATCGCCACTCTCAGCGGCGAATCGGGACGATCAGCATGTTGAAGCTCCGCAGCGGTGCATGCTAGCTCGTCTGCCAGGCTTTCAAGTGATGCGCTGCAGCAGCGGAGCTGGATGAGGTCCGAACGGCACAGGTGCTGAGCGCCAGGAGCAGCCCAATCTGGGCGATCAGCATCAGTAGCTTCACGAACGGTTTCAGGATGAGCATGGTCGCAAAGATCGCCACGCAGGGCGGCATCGGAATCGCTGGCTCCACAATCGTGCTACAAGATCTTCTCGGCCTCCAGGAACGCGGTGTGCGAGTCGATCTGGCAAGTGTCGGCAAGAAATTGGACCAGACGGCGCTCAGCGACCACATGGTCCCGAAGATGTGCGGCATCGTCTGCAGCGGCCTCAGGAACGTGCAGAAAGACATCGGCGTGAACAGCGTCGGCAGGAGCCAGTTCCTCGTGAGGGTCGCCACGTTCAGCATCGTCAGAAGGAGCACGGTCACCAGCAGGGACGCGAGCGGCATCGTGTGCAGCACCAACCGTGGTCTGACCGTTTGAAAGATGCGCAGCTCCCGCTTGAAATCGATGTCGTACAGGTAGGGCTCGTGACTAGCCGCTCCAGATGGCGGCTGCGGGGAAGGCGAAGGGGAGCACTCACGCGGTGAAGACATTGAAGAGTGCAGGTTGGCAATGAATTCAGAAACCTTCGGCAGGTCCGAGCCGTCACAGAAGCCCACGACCTCGGGCAAGAGCTGGGGCGGCCTCTGAGCGCGAATGATGTGCAAGGTGTGCGTAGCCATGCCCATGGCCATAAACATTATGTCGAACACCTGCGGCAGAAGGGATGAAAGAGAGGACGTACCGTTTGGTAAGAGCGGGCCCAGCTGCAACGCTCGCTTGCCCGACGGGGCATCCGCAGAGGGAGGGTGTACCTCAGGTACAGTATGATAACCCACGTCGTATTCGTGGAGCGCCTCGTGCACGCGGGCCTCCTTGACCCTCGGGAGGCGGTGCTTGGCGCGGCCTGCGCGAGTGTTGACTTTGTGGAGCTGGTGAACACCGGCGCCACCCACCCGCGGGGCAGCGAGAGCAACTGCATCACGAGGAGCATGCGATTGAACTCCGTTCTCGAATTGAAGATGCGCGTGAACGCGCATACCATACACAACGTCGCGTACAGCAGGGGCAAGAGCAGCTGGTACCAGTACATGCTTGAGACCGCAAGGGACCTCCCGGAGATAGCCACGGGCACGGCCACGTTCGCGGCGGACAGCACGGCGTGCAGCAGACCGGCGGTGCGGTATCACCGCAAGCGTGGAGACGATGAAGACGAGCAGATGCCACACTGGAGGGCAGCGGCGCACACCATTGCATGCTGTGAGTGGAGCGCGTGCGGGGCTCCGGCCTGGCAACATGTGGCTTGAGCCAAAATGGCTGCCGACACATACATGTGTATGTGTATATATATATATATATATATATAACATGTATATTTGCACGTGCACACATACCAGAACCATCGCGCACGCTTCGCACGCGGCGCTCGGGCTCTAGTGGGGTGCAGCGGCCTAGAGCATCGACCGTAGAGGTAGTGAAGTCGGAAGGCTTCCTTTAACGCCCTCCAGCGCCAGCGCGGGGTCTTGTCGGCCAACATTGAAGCTCTTGAGGTCATGTTCGGGTTTATGCTTCTGAGGGCCACAAGCGTTTGGGGGTGCATTCCAAGATCGCCTCGAAAGGTATTGGGGATTCTTCGAAGGAGAAATGAGACGAGAGAGGGAAGAGGGAAGACGGAGAGAGGTGGGAAGACGGAAGTAGGGGGGAGGAAGAGGGACGAGAGAAGAGGGAAAGAACGGGGAAAAGGGAATAGGGAGGCGGGCTGAGGGAGAGGAAAACAAGGTGGAACGAGGGAGGTAAAGAAGGTAGGAAGGAGGGGAGAAGGCAGGAGGAGCAGGGAAAATAGAAGGGAGAAGGAGACAGAAAAAGGAAGAGGGAGAAGAGGCCGGATTCGGAGATGACGTGGGTGCGGGCGTCGGGCTGGTGGGCGTCGGCGCCTCGATTGGGACAAGCACTGAGGAGGCGAACTGGCGCGCCATGAGGAGGCGGGCCGAATTGATACATCAGATGTTGAAGGAGGCGGGCGTGGTACACACAAATATGCGCACGCGTACATGTGACGGACAAGCAGAATAGTATCGCGCTTACAGTAACCGCACACTTGCCAGAACAGCGCGCGCGCTTTTCGGTTCTAGTGTATGCCAGGGCGGCCTCACAACCTCGTGTGAGCACGGGTCCAAGGGTCCAAATCTGACACGATCACAGTCGGAGGACCCCACTTTACATCCGCCAGCACGATCAGTGTGATCCACGCTCCACGCTGGACAGTACTTCCCACGAGAGCAGCGTGAAGTAGGAATCTGAGAGAAGGTGGGTAGAGAAGGAAACGCACCAAACGCGGCACGCGCATCATGCGCATGGCGCCTCCCAAGGAGCCTCCAAAGGACCCCAAGAGGCAGACGAGCGCATGTGTGGACACTAAAAAGGAGCGCTCCGAGCCGTTGAATCGCCAACCTCGCCACCCCCGCATGCGCAGCACATGTCTCCGGCTGTGAAGTCGCTGTCGTCGTACAAATAGTCATATGCACAATACTGAGCATAATCCGTCCACCATTCGCAGCCGCCGCCATTGGTCCCTGTTGCTTCCTCCGAAGTGTCCGCACAAGTTGCCTGCACTGCTAACTGATCTACCTCCGGCATGCCAGCGGGTCCCCCGTATGAGCGACGATCATGAGGCAACGGTGATAATGGGTAGCACAAAGCAGTGCCAAACTAGCTTATCCCCTGGCGTTTTCCCTGCCCGTTCCATGGCGTGTCCCTTGCCACGTCCCCTGGTACGTCCCTTGGCGCATTCCCTAGTGCGCCCCTGGCAAATTCAGTGGCGCATCCATGCGCCCTGCGCCCCGTGCCGTCTCGTCCCGCTTCGGAACTGACTCGGATCTTGAGCTCGAGCTGACTGAGCGTCCCGCAAGTTTCTACTGTAACCAGTTCTGGGCCAGCTAGGCGTTCATGCAGCTCGAGCTTAAGAGCCATAGCAGTTCGGTCAGGATTCGGATGCCAGGGGCGCCTTGATCCACAACACTTCAGAACAGTCCAAGTCATTGCGGCATGACACATCCCATTTCAGCACGGCACAGCACAGCACAATTCTGGACACGGTACATCACGATTGATACCTTCAGCATTGCAACGGTGGCCCAATCAAGTATCTTGAGAACATAGCCCTGCTTCGCGTTTCCAGACTAAGTTCCGGGCTCGTGGGCCGATCACTTCAAACATGCGATTCGCGCGTGCCCGCTCGAGGAAAATGTGCCCCCCCCACCTCGGATGATCATGAAATTAAGGGGTCCGCAAACCCCCGCTTTTCCTCCGTAGAACCAACAAAAGACCTCTCACAGTTGCAGGGAATGGGCGCATCTTGACTTCGTGCGAGTCCGCTCGAGGATGGCGCGCTCTGCGCGAAGAAGCGTCGGGCTTCGGCGTCCGAGGATGCCGCATGCACAGGGTAAAGTAGACATGTTGGTTTTTGCTGCGGATGGTTTGAGCGCTTGGTTTGCAGCATGTGCTGAAGATGTTTCGAGCGAGACGCTTGTTCTGTCGCATAGATTGCTCCTCCCCTGGGAGCCGGAACTCGGATGTCTCAGGCGAAAGGCTTGGTGTCACGCCCAGGTCGCCCAAGAGGGTATCATATGTGGTTGTCCCTAGATGGGACCACGTGTTTTCACGTGCCCAGATCACCCAAGGGGGTATTTAAGATGGTGGTCCCGCGTTGGAAGCATGTGATTTTACGTGCCCAGGCCACCCCGTCTGATATCCAACATGGTGGTCCCGAGTTGGAACCACGTGGTTTACGCGTCCAGGCCACCCAGAAAGGGTATCTAACATGGTTGCCCCGACCTGGAACCATGGTTGTTACGTGTGCGGGCCACCGACGACGGGGTATCTAACCCTGGAGGACCCAACGTGGGAGCCCACAAGAGCCAGACAACATCAAGTAAGCGACACCAGATGTGTAATCATTTGACACAGGTTCTTCAGCTGGCAAGTTTCCAGGTTTCCCCAGGGGTATCCTGGGGTATCTAACATGGTGGTCCCGAGCTGGAGCCACGTGTTTTCGTGTCCAGGCCACCAAGGCAGGACAACAGAGAGAGAGAGAGAGAGACACAGGACTAAAGAAGGAGGAACGGCGACAAACGACAACAGCAAGGGGCACCCAGGGGAACAATGAGGCGGACAGTCTCGCAGCCTTGTCTCCAAAGGGGGCAGCGCCCGGCTGGGCCTGGGCCTGGGCCACAAGTCGATTTGCGTATCAGCGAGTTTGAGGCGCACGCCAACTGGGTGTCTTCAAGAAGGTTTCCCCCACTCAACCGCACAGCATACATCGACTAATGCACAACCAAAGGCGCCCAAGGTACACTGTCAAAGCGACAAGGGGTGCGCTGGGGTGAGCCACGCACGCGTGTCTTTTTCATTGCGCACCCATGTGCTGCTCACATCGCGGCTGTGTGTAACCATATTCTGGGAGAACTGCCCGGCCCCCAGAGGGCTCGGGCCAGCCAGATGCCAGCTCGAAGCCAGCTGGACTGACTACCCTTGATATGTTTTGAAATGGCGCCAGGCTTTACTCTAGAACGCCGAGGCCTCATCAAGACCATGGACGTTCAAAGCTCTGCAAATCTATGTTGACAACCTTGTGGCATTGGGTAACGATGGGGAGTGACGAATGAGAAGGCAGCTTGCCTGAGCCAATGGCTCTTTCTGATCATCGGCATCGGTGAATTTTAAGCATAGTGCCGTGCATGCATGTAGCTAGCTAGCACCGTCATACGTTGGCTTGCTGTACGCTGACACTGGCAACGACGTGATTACCTTTGTCTGTGAGATTTGACCTATGAGGTTTTGTCGACTTGTGCATGGCAACAACACTTGTGTAATCTCACATAGCCGAATACCTTGTGGAATGACGGGTAGCTGTGTCACTTGTGTGGCGCATGCGAGCTATCAGCGGCAATGATAAGTACACATGGTATGACGGTGACGTGCTTATGTTTAAAGGAGTGTCATACTTGTTACTCGTGCGCAACAGTGACATCCGCCGCATAATCCTGTTGGGAGACGTCCTGTGCAACTTCGAATGGGGCACGATGCCAGTTCACTTCTGGCCAGATTGCGCAGTGGGTGTTCGTGACTGCGGATCAATTCGCATTCCCAGGTCCTCTCAGAGCCCTCCAGGGAATCCTAGGGCCTTCGGGGACTGCCTTGAGAAGAGGCAGTCGTCGGTGCCTTTTCATTTCAGGTGGACTGCTTCGTCCCATCCGCAGGCTGCTGGGCATGGTGGACCTCCGCGAATTGGCAGGAGAAGCGCGTCGCTACAGGGACCCCCTTTCGTGGTCGATGGGCAAAGCCGTTCGTAGCCACACCATACGGTATATACACACGTTCCAGAACTCCGCGTGTGAAAAACCATTTGTTTCACTCGTATTATGGGCGTCGACATGGGGGCATACAGTGCGAACAAAAACACAAGGGCGCCACGCGTCACCCAGAAAAGCCGTGTGAGAAAAAACATATGTTTCAGTCGTATTCTGGGCGTCGACATACGACCGTACTGTGTGAAACAACACAGGGGTACAACACAAGGGTGACACATGTCACCCCTACTTCGGCATCTTGAAGATTCCGGAGTTCCCGAGGACTCCTGAGGGTTCCCGAGAAGCCCCGAAGATTCTGGATAATCCCTGAGAGTTCTCAAAGATCCTCGAAGATTGCAAACATATCCCATACAGCCCCGAGGATCTCACAAGATTTCTGGGGATCCCAGAAGATTCCCGGATATTCCAAAAAGTATTTCGTCGGATTCCTTCGAATTCGGGAGGATTCCAATAGATTCCACAATATGCCTGAATTATGAAAATGTCCATCTGGCATCGCTGTCATTCTGGCATTCTGGGAAATGCTTCCATCTGGCGGCTGTCTAGCAGGGCCGTCTGGCTACGATCCCAACCTGGTGCAACCTGGCGCTCGCTACAATCCAGCCAATCTGGCGACACCGCCAATCTGGCAATCTGTCAGCTGAGCTTATGCAACTTGGCTCGCCCAAACGAAATAGAAAACACACGTAAAGCCAGACGGCCGCAATCCATAAGCGAAAAATGATGGCGGGCAAGAAAATCGAATTGGGAAGGCCAGCATCAGACCGGAAAGCGCCCGACTGGCGCACAATTGGAATTCACAGGAGACTGATACCGGATTGATCCCAGAGCGTAAAACCCATCTGCCAGTCTGGTTTCGACTGCCCAGAATAGCTCATTGGACCTACACCTTCAATGGCATCCTGCCAGCCTCCGAATACCGACTACAATCGTACTGCAGTTTCAATTCAAATGCGTTCATACCAGAGCTGCAGCTCTAGTGGAATGAAAAGAGCGAAGGAAGTGGGGTGAAGGGGAGGAGAGGGAAGTGGGAGGAGGACAGAAAAGGGAGGGGGACAGAGAACGACCGAAGGGTGGACCGAGGGAAAGGGTGTCGGCGTAGGCGCCTGGTCCGTGCCATCCGTAGAGGTGACCTCCTCACGGCGTTCGTCAAAGGTCGTGGTCGTAGGCGCCTGGCCAATGCCATCGGTAGAGGTGCTCTCTTCGCGGCGTTCGTCAAAGGTCGTGGTTAGGTCGTCATTGGCAACGCAGCCGTAGCTGGCGAGTATGAAAGCGAACGCTACGAGCATCGTGCGGTCCATTGCCGCATGGGAGGATCAACCGAGGCAAAATCCTGTGAGCCAAAACGTGCATCAGAATCTGTGGACTACCTACCAAACTACCCGCACCCAACCGGAAGGCGACACTGGGCCTGCCAATGAACAGCGAGGTGACATTCCGAAACATGGAGGAAACACGAATGGAAGCCGTACGGCTCCGACCCGAAATTTGAGGGGTCTGTGGCCTTCGGGTTGGGTGGGGGTTGCTTGTCAAGCAGTGCTGTATGGAGCCGCCACGGGGCACCTGAACTCTGCATGAACTCTGCAACGAGAAGGGGGCTGGCAGTCACCCTGCCCGTGCATATCTCCAGGGCAGTAGAAGAAACAAGCACATAAACATAACTTTTGGCGCCCAGCGCGGATTTCTTGGATTCGTGCTGGACCCCCCTCCCTAGCGCGCGGAGCGCGCCGGAGGCTGCGCCTGAGGCGCCGCCGGGGGGGGGGGGCCCAGGCGCGGATCCAAGAAACCCGCGCGGAGCGCCAAAAGTTTCTGTTTATCTTAGTTGTTTTCTTATTCTAAGTAGATGCATCCAAAGAGCCAATGCCACTTGCTCCATACGAGTTGTGAGCCTTCGGCCCGCACCCTCGGGAAGACGGACACCGCCTGTCGATGATCAGCTGTTGAACTGAAATCACTTTGCCTCCTCTGGAGGCTGTGGTGCTGAGAAGGACGGAGCCATGTCATATGTTGTTCCTCTCTTCCGCATTATCTGGACAGCCAGCAGTTGATATCAGCGGATTCGGTCAACTCTCCCAAAGGGTCCAGAGAGGGTCCCAACATTAGATTTCTCAGGGGGGCCAACGAAGCATCCCCGTCTCAAGCCAATGCCTCCCCCAGGTGGCCCCACGACGGCCATCATGAGCACCAAAAGATTTCCAAGATGGCGCAAAAAGATGTTTCTGAG